CAAGCAAACCAAGAAGATAGATATAAATTATAAAAAAAAGACAGATATTAATTGCCTATTATATACGATCCAAATGCCAAAACAGTATAATAATACATAGTTTATATTTAAAACATAGTTAGAATATTTGATTTTTCTTTTCCTACAAGTGCACACACATGCTTTCGAAGTTAAGCTAAAGTTGTATATGAAAGTGGCACTAGTACTAGCTACAAACAAAAAAAAACAAGTTTTGTGTATTAGAAATTTTCTTAGTACTCCAAACCTTAATTCAAAATCGTGACTTCCAATTCTTAGTTTTGGTGTTTCTAAGTCATAATGTATCATTTATTTATTGAAATCGTCTGGATATGAATATTTTGTTTTTGTACAGGAAATACAAGGCCTAAGGCATATGGGGTAATATTTCAGGATGCAAATGGAGTGTTCCACACAGCAGAATTAGCGATGCAAGACGTAATGAATGAGGTTATCTTATCAGCAGGGGCCATCGCGAGCCCACAACTACTAATGCTGAGTGGTGTGGGTCCTGCAGCCCATCTTGCAACCCATGGGGTGAATCCGGTAATCGATCACCCCATGGTAGGGCAAGGAATGGGTGATAACCCCATGAATCCTGTTTTCATCCCTTCTCCTCAACCCGTAGAAGTGTCTCTTGTCCAGGCCGTTGGGATCACTAAATATGGTAGTTACATTGAAGGTGGAAGTGGGTTAAGTCTCTCGATTAGTTTAACCCGTAGCTTCTTCGATGGTGTTTTAAATCTACTCAAGGAGGTATATATATCGTCATCTGATACACTAAATAAAATGTTATATATAGATTGTTTATTCACATGACTATATGTATGATGTTTTATGCAGACAAAACTTACCACCCAATCCATTTCAAACTTTCTCAAATCTTCCGATCTTCGATTGAACGTGATGACAAAAGCGGGTGTGATTGTTCAGAAAGTGGCTGGGCCGCTTTCGAGTGGTCATTTGAAGCTGCGGAACACAAATCCAGATGATAACCCTTTAGTGACATTCAACTACTACCAAGAGCTAGAAGATTTGAACAAGTGTGTTGAAGGACTTAGTACAATCATTAAAGTGATAGATTCGAAGGGATACTCTAAATACAAGTACCCGGAAGCGAATGCGCGTGGACTGCTAAATCTCATTCTTGCTCTTCCCATTAATTTGAGGCCAAGGCACATAACCTCGACGTTCGATTTGAAGCAGTATTGTAAAGATACCGTGATGACTATTTATCATTACCATGGAGGTTGTCAAGTAGGAAAAGTGGTTGACAATAATTACAAAGTATTAGGGATAGATGCTTTGAGGGTTATCGATGCATCCACGTTTCTCAAGTCTCCGGGGACTAATCCTCAAGCCACGATCATGATGCTCGGAAGGTAAACACATGCATATACATAAACTAAATGAAATAAAGGATCCAAACGTGTTATTAAGATGTATGATTGTTGGAGAGCTATGATGTGTAGATATATGGGGAAGAAGATTCTTCAAGAGAGGGCGGCTTTCCAAGGAAAAGAAGAAGGAACATGAGATTTTACAGTTTTTCGAAAGTATGAAGAAGATGATCGAACAATCTTCTTCATCGTCCAAAGAAAGGAAATCACACATATACATATTACATCTTTCTATTGTACAAAGATGTAAAGTTTTTGTTTTTTAAACAGAAAAGATGTCAATTTTTTTTTGTTCAGGAACTATAGTGATTATTGATG